TGCATCTGTGTAGTGCTTTCGAATAGCTCGTGACGAAATGGCACTGCGGCAATATATGCACAGTGACTCGCTAGTTCGGCCATCAAAGATTGGTTCAAAAGAAGGCCTGGAATGGACTTGTAGCGCAAGTGCGTACGAAGATCTGGTCGATCACAAATCGGCGCATTCCTGTCCTTAGCAGAGTTGAATTGCATGCAGGCACGTCGATTTATATGATCACGAAGACGATACATGTCAGTGAACGAACGCGCACAATGTGAACAAGTAGGATAGCCATTAGTTGTATCACGAAGTGCAACGAAGACATCTTCAATGTGACATGGAATGGAATGATATTCACGCATGCGGCGTTTCAATGGACCTGCCTGTGCAAAGGATCGATGGCATTCAGGGCACTTAAGATCATCCACCTGGGCACATGGATCGGCAGTGGCGCCGCGTATGATGATGTGACATGGCGGATAGTCTGGGGTCAAAACAGTGACATCATCTGCAGCATGGGACATGGCAGGATCCGAGAGGGTCACACGTCGTTGGCTCAAATGTTCCTTAAGTCGTTCAAATTGCTTATGAAGCATGATCCAAGGAGGATCGATCTGCAGTCTGCGAAAGAAGTCGCTGGTGTTTTCTCTGGTGATATGCACAGGTGAACGAGTCATGATACGATGGTGATTGTTGATGAGGCTGATAATGCGTTGACTACCTACCTTGGTGTGTCCCATTTCAAAAATGCCATAGAACAAAGAAGCAATGATGCATTGACGATACAATCTCAGTCTCAAACTAAGAGGACGGTGTCTGTTAGTGAGCCAACTACGGAGGGTGTGAAAACACGTCTGTGCAGCTTGAATCCTGCGTGCAACAGTGTCATTCTCCCAACAACCCCTAGATAGGAAGTGTTGCCCACCATTGGAAATGTGGTATTCAAATCAGGAAGATGCAAAATAGGACCAGTGAGTGGGCGGCTGCACCACTTCTTGAGAAACTAAGACATCTGCTTCCCAGTCAGCTGCATCATAGCTGCACTTTTCTCCGGGTTGACTCGAAATCCAGCAGTTTGCAGACTGAAGATTAAATGACTCAAATCATGAAGGGCAGCAAGACCATCTTGAACTGAAGTGAAGATCCATCGAAAATGCAGGTCATCGGCAAAAATCACAACGTGGTCCCGAATCCATTCCAAGTTATGATTTGCTAAGAGTTCATGGCAAAAAAGGTAAATGCACACAGTCCACATCAAGGGAGCATCCTTGGCTCCCTGTATGATGCCTCGACTTGCTCGAATCCGGCCAAGCAGTTCCTTGTGAAGCAAACAGTATTCATGTGGCAGTAGCCATGAAGTGATGAGGTGTCTGAGGTCAGGGTTCATGTCAAACACTTCCAAAGCTCTGAGAACATGATTACGACTTACGGCATCAAAAGCTTTTTCTAGGTCCAGTGAAACCTGAAGTCCACCCCACAAACCTTTCGGTGTAGCATCCTTGTGATCACGGACCTGTCGACAGTGATCAGAAATGATCAGAAGGCAATCCTTGGTGCTGCGACTGGGCAGGTATGCATACAGTGGCATGCGACAAATCTGTGGGAGGACAATCTGTCGTAGCAGTTGACAGTGGAGTCCGGTCAATATCTTATTCATCGGGTGCTGAAGGCAGATTGGACGGAAGGCTTCAGGTCGATTGGGCGGTTTAAGAGGTTTTGGGGAGGAGGTGAATCCATCCTGTGTCCAGTGGTCCGGTGGTTGACTGCAGTCATGGCACCAAAAAGTTTCAAGATCCGCCCAAAGGAAGGGCGCAAGGTCAGCAGCAAAATGCCGCCATATCAAAGCCGGGAGACCATCAGGTGCAAGAGCTTTGGTCATTGGCAATCTTTGCAGCTGAGTTCGAATTTGGTCCTCAGTGAACGGAACATGTGTCAGAGCCGGGGGGTTGTCCGGTTGGAAGTTTGGACCGCAATATAGTTTACCAAAGAAAGCAGTGATCTGATCAAGTTCCTGTTGTGGTGTTAGTGGAGCCCCAAAACGGTCAAAAAGCTGAATCCGTTGTCGTTTATGTCTGGGACAAAGCTGGCGAATACGTCTGTTGCAGTCCAGGATCTCATGACGCAATGCAAGGTCAGCACTGTCTTTCATGAAATCATCAAGGCGTTGGCGTTTATTCTGTCGGCTGAGAAAGCGAATTCGACGGTGCAAAACCGAGAAGGTGCACACATGGCGCCAAGCATTGAAACATGGCATGAAGTGTGCGGGGTGTAGCCTTCGAGAACGATCTTCTGGCATTCCACGTCATCGAGACCAAAGCACTGCTATGCGGGCGGTCATTGGAGGACGGACGGGGAAAATGTCTGATACACAACTGTCGAATGGCAGTCTCAAGTGACAAGCTTTGGGATTCCAAGGCAGTATTTGGATCAGGGGTCCTGAGGGTCTGCATTCGAATGAGGGCTTGAACTGCATTCTCGAATGCTTGCCATCTGGTGGTCTGGCTCAGGAATTCTTGGCGTAACCTGAAGCGGTCAATGGGCGAATGTGCAACGGGTGGTTGCTTGATGTGAAGCCATCTGGGTAGTGATGCAGTCAAAGGTCGATGGATAGGACCTAGAACACCTAAAGTGCGTTCAAAGTGACAATGAACATGAGCCTTCAACTTCTGCCAACGTATTTGGTGCTCTCTCATGAACATGAAATCAATGCGTGTAGCACGAGATCCATGGATAAACGTGTGTCTATAACATTGTTTACAATGTATGGCCACAAGTCGAAGGTCAGTGATCAGACCCTGAAAAGCGTTTTTGTCTCTCTGCAAGGCACGACTGAACTTTGCATCGGAGGCGCAAACAAAAGGAGCAGCTTGGTCCAATGGCGTGTTGAAGTCTCCGGCCACCAGAAGCATGTGTCGTCTGGGTATGTGGCGCACGGACTCACCAAGACGTGTCCACAGTTCTGCACGGGCGCGAGTCAGGTCTGTCTGGTCGCGTGTGGTGTTCCATGCAAATTGGTAGACACTGAAAATGTCATGAATGCAATGAAACATGAGACGCAAGTGGACCAGTCGTCCAGGGATGATAGGATTGTATGCGATTTTATCGGAGGAGATGACTGCTCGTCTGATCATTAGTAACTGTGAGGCACGTTGATGGGCAGTATGGATACATGTCCAGTTGTGAGTTTGCTACTGGTTCGAAAAGGTCCAGCCTGTCTCCTGGATGAGGAGGATGTCATATCCACTTTGGTCACTCCATAGGATCCATTCATCATAAACCAGGCCATTGCCTGCATTCCATGAGAAGACTCTGAGGTCATTGGCGGTGGAAATGGTCCGAAGAGGATTAGAAACAGGCTTGGGTGGATCATCACTTGGAGCAAAAACACGAAAGCGCATGGGAACTTCATGAGCCCATAGAGTTCTGCCTCTATACTGGGTATGACCATCTCGAACGGCTCGACGGCAGGCACGTTTCCAGGTGCGTTTCACCTGTTTACATCTGGATGGGGGCAATCTGTGGCCTAAGCCAGCCATTGCCCATACCTCACATGGTTTCGTGCGACTTGCATGAACATCCAAAGTGCTATCAGGAGCACTCCCCCCGGCCTGTGAGCAACCGGGAACCCTCGTGCCAATCTCCATGTTAAGGTCAGTCAAGACACACGAACGGAAGGAGACCCTCGGATTTGGGACCGAGGTTTCCAGCGAGGTGTAAAACACCAAAAGAGCAGCTATGGTCAACAGATATGGCGGCATGCGGTAAAGCAAGGAAAAACCATGGCTACCACTAAGCTGCGCCCTTTTCAGCTGGAATGGCACTTACTGCATGCATTGCACAACAATTAAACATATCTCAGACTGCATGCATTGCACAACAATAAAACATATCTCAGACTGCATGCATTGCACAACA